TTTTTAAATCTGTAACATTTCTCACATCTTTATGTTTCAAACATGGTCAATAAAATTGTGAATTTTAATTCTATCAACTTCAAAAAATTTTAATTCGAATCTATTCCATTTAATTTCTCGATATGTTGTCCCTTTAGAATCTACGATATTTTATATCTTCGAAAGAATTTAAATATGGTCAAACTTACAAGTTCCAATGAAATTTTAATTCGAATCTATTCTATCCACGTTCTTTTTTAAAATCTGTAATATTTCTCGTATCTTTATCATGTCCCAAACATGGTCAATTTTAAAGAAATTTCAATTTCTTCATGTACATTGCAACATGAATATCTTTCACATCTTTGTAATATCCCGAATATTGTCAAATCTGAACATTGATTCCACAAAATGCACACAAATATGCACACTGCAGATTCTTATGCATTCGCAGAAAATTAATAGATAGAACATGGAAAACTGTCCAAAGTAGTATATTATAATAGATGGAACAAGCTGTACAGTTTTCAGATTCTTCAAAGAAAAAAAGAAGAAAAGAAAAGAGAGGAGAAACACACTGTCGAATTAATTATCAACTAGTTAACGTAACTACAAAGAAGAGATTCTTTTTAATTCTTTAAATTTAGAGTATCCAGATGACAATCGAACAAATCGTTTCCAATGACTTGCACATAACTTTTAAACGTGACCATCATTTGTCACTGAGATTCTACTAGAAATCTTCCCATAGGAACATTAAAAATACACGAAAAGGTCTGCAGTACACTCGCAGCAAACATTCACGGCCGGTGTTCTCCGTTGCTTTTCATTTTCGCCAGCGTCGAATTATTACTTCTAATCAGAGATTCAGGTACGCGGATGGAAAATAAAAGCACCGGGCACGAGTGCTCCGGCAAGGGTTAAATCACCCCGAGGCTCGGCATCGGAGCCCTCCTCCGGACTGCTACAATAAAAAATTTAATCAAAATGCCCTCTTGGTAATTTACAGCTCGACCAGTAGTCTCAACCCTTTTGGCGAGGCTGGTGAGGGTGGAAGGAAGCCAAAGAGGCTGGGTCGAAGGTGGAAGGGTATCGTCGCACGATAGAGAGGAAAAGAAAGCCCGTAGAAGTCATAGAAGAGCAGGACACGAGCCATTTGCTCGCTGCTTTCGTCCCTGTAAAAAATAATACTTCTTTTCTTTGCTCATTTGCCTCTGTTAAGCCCGCGACTCTTTCTCTCTCTCTCTCTCTCTCTCT